GGGGGGTCAGGTCTGCCTGTAATAGAGGAGAGTCAGCCGGCAGGTGAGCCGTGGTACCTGAAAAGCCTGGAGGCGGCAGTGTCACTGGTGTCCAGCCAGGTGCAGGAGATGTATGGGCAGCAGGTGATCAGTATCACGGGACCTGCCACTTGGATTGCCCAGCCATGGATTCTAGGTTCCGACTTTAATCTTTTGAAAGACTGACAAAAGTAAGGCTCTTGTTAGGAGTAGCCACAAGAACTGGGCAGGTGTCAAGGCCCAGTTACTCGGTTATTAGAACTGAGGCATAAAGGAGAGAATTTCAGTTGAAAAACCCCATTTACTGAAAGTAGAACCAAAAGTCGTGCACAACTAGAGGAATAGTTGCTTTGATGCTGAGTCATCCAACCTGGTAAGATTGAAAGTTTCTTTGCCTTGGAAAAAGAATCATTCTTAGAATGGGGAGGAATTCTGACCCTGCAATGATGTCAGAAGACCGTAACTAGAGTCTGAAGGCTGTGGGGTGGTGAGGAGCCAGAGGAGGTTCATACAACCACTTTGGCATTTGAAACTAGGCTAGGATCTGAAAATCGAATATACTGGTCCAGTTGACTCCTCAGTAAGCCTAAACCAAATTTTGTTTGGAACCATAATACTTAGATTTGAATCCAGGTTCTGCTAGTTCCTGCTTGCTCCTGGCTATGTAACACGGGGCAAGTTATTTAACCTCTTTTTTTATTTTTTGAGTTTTTTTTAATTTTTTTTTTTTTTTTACTTCTCATCTGAGGATATTTTTTCCATTAATTTTTAGAGAGGGGGCAAGGGAAGCAAGGGAGGAAGGGAGGGTGGGAGGGAAAGAGGGAAAGAGGGAGGGGGTGAGAGAGAGAGAGAGAAAGAGAGAGAGAGAGAGAGAGACATCAATGTGAGAGAGACACATCAATTGGGTGCCTGCTGCATGCTTCCTGACTGGGGCCAGGGAACAAACCTGCAACCCAGATATGTGCCTTTGACCAGGAATTGAACCCTCGACCCTTTGGTGTGCCGGCTAATGCTCTAACTACTGAGACACATGGCTTAACCTGTTTTTAAACTTAGTTTCTTTATCTGCAAAATGGAGTTGATAATAGTGCCTACCTCGTTAGATTGTTAGGAAGATTAAAACTGATTAATTAAAGCATTCAATTAAAATAGTGTCTGACACAGAAAACATTTATTGAGTGTGTAAGTAGTAGTATTAATACCCATTGTAGTTAAGAACTTTTTTTTTTAATCACATCCAAGCACATGTTTTCATTGATTTTTAGAGAGAGAGAGAAACATCAAACTGTTGCCTTCTGTATGCACCCGACCAGGATTGAGCCTGCAACCTGGGTGTGTGCCCTGACCGAGAATTGAGCATGCAACCTTTTTGGTGTATGGGACAATGCTCCAACCAACCGAGCCACCTGGCCAGGGCATAGCTATAAACTTTTGTAACATGTTCAGTTGTGCCAAGGAAATGACATGTGTATGTTTGTGTGTGTGAGTGTGTGTGTGTGTGTACATGTGTGCACGCACATGCATGCGTGCATGGGCACATACACATAAAACTATTCATTTACTTTATCAATTGTATGTACAGGTTTTTGACGAGAAGTACTTTCTGGTGGAAATGGATGATTTGCGACCAGAGAATCATGCAAGGCGATCCTTTGTGTGTCATGTTGACAGTCCTGGTATTTTCCCTGTGCAGTGGAGTCTGAAGAATGGTTTACACATCACACCCCCTCCTGGTATTCATTCCTTCTGTTCTGAATTGGTTATCAGGAACTTTCCTTTGAAATGAGATTTATCAGATACGTTACCTGGACCTCTTGTCCCTTTCTCTCTTCATGCCCCAGCCTCTCCTTAACATTTCGGAGCCCAGGACAAGTATAAGTGAAGG